GGGGGGGGGAAGACGCCCAGTGGCCCGCACCACTGGGTGTGCCGGATTCGACCGCCCCGTGATCACGAGGATACACCGGAGCGACCACCTACCGACTAAAAAACTCCCCCTGGTCCATACAAATTCGGCAATGCATATGTGGGAACACCCCGGAACCGCCTTCTGGCATTACGTCAGAGTGCCCCAAATGCGCGCGGGATGGCTCCCACCACTGAATTGCGGGTATTTACACGTCTATTTACACGTCTATTAACACAAGTCCGCTCTCGCACACACGCGCAGCAAGTCCCGCGCGGGTCACGAGCAATCCGCTTTATATAGTCCAATGCTAGCCGTCCACCACCATCGCATCCTCCGAGGGGGGAACACTCCCCGACTCAGGGACGGTCGCGGCAGCGGCAACGGTCGCACGCACCAAGCCGTTGTAAGGAGCACAACCGTCTCCACCAGCCCTATGTCCAGCCGGCAAATTCCTCGCCGCGCACACAGGGCAATGAGGCGAAGCCCGACAGTCGATCATCTTGTGCCCCTCCTTTCCGCATTTAAAGCATCTATTGCTCCTGTCCACGGCGCTCCTGCAGTTGACCCTGGTATGTCCCACCGCTAAGCACCTGTAGCACTGGAGCCTCCTCCTGGCCAATGGTATCAGTCGCCCTCGCGACCACCCCACCTGCAGTCCTCCGTCCTTTCTTATCGTCTCCGCGCAGGGCTCAGGGCACTGCAGCCAAACGCTGTTGAGACCTCCCCCTCGGGGTCTCAAAGGTCCAACCCGCACGTCGCTCAGGGGTACTCTTCCTCTCGCCGCGACAGCCTCCTTGATCTCGTCGGCCGTTACGGACTCGTCCAGATCAACGAGACGGAACTCCATTCTCCTAATTGGGCGTATCACCCTCACATCTTCTCGCTCTTTAAAGAGGGAGCTGAGCCTTTCCGCTAGGGAGTCCGCCTTTGTACCAGCGTCCTCTCCCTGGATCTCAATCAGCAGACCGCCAGTCTGCGCACGTCTTAATCTGGTGTCCACTATACCCAGTTCCGCCAAGGGAACCTTCGACCTCGCCTCACCCATTACCTCAGCGTAAGATGGGCCACCCTCGTTGCACCGTATAACTATCACCGCGGAGCTTCTCTTCCGAGTCCCAGCACGTGCGGTCCTTTTCGCAGGAGCCACGGACCTGGGACAGACCCGAGGATCCTTCCCCGAAACCGCAGCATCCCGAGTCCCCCGCGCAGCCATTGCGAAGGACAGGCCCTCTTTAAGCGTCCCTGCACTGCTGGCATTGTCCGTCACCACGTCCGATGCATTCGCGGGCAAGCCACTATCACTATTCGTCCCGCTCTTTCTCTTCTTCTTCCTCTTTCCTCCTTTCCCAGTTACCGGCACCCAAGACTCTCTCTTCTCGAGGCCTGAGGGAGGAGGGCAATCCGGATGGTTCTCTCTCCCCGGAACGTTGGCCTCTACAGAGGGCACAATCTGCTCCGTCCCATTCTCCTTTCCCCCTCGTACCGAAGTATCCATTGTAGCAATATCCTCCGGTATCGTTCCGGGTACTGCACCCAACGAAGGGTCGCGCGCCAGAGGGACATCCTCACTCGCGTGAGAACTACCCCCACCAACGGAAGAGACCTGTAGCAGTTGGCCAGACTCACCACGCTCCTCTCGTCCTTGCGCTCTACAGTCCTGGAGTTCCTTCCTTAAAATCCCGACCTCTTTGCGAAGACTGTCTCTCTCTTTCTGAATGGTCTCCAATCGACTCCTGAACGACTTATCTTTGCGCTCGTAAAGGCTCAGATTCGAAGCTTCCCGATCCTCAGCTTTTTCCAATCTCTTCGCTAAATGCCGAATAGCCTGTTTGGCCACCTCGATTCCGAATTGAATTTTTTCATGAAAATTATCAATCCTACTCAGAGAAATCATACTCCGCTCTGCATCAGTCGCATCATCAGCCGAAGCATCAGAATTCGTCGAATCGCTGGACTCGCCACTCGAAGTGTCCACCTCTACTACTTCCACAGCTCGTGGCCCACGCTCCCTAGGGGGACGTGACACAGCTCTTGGGCCGGTCCCTCCGGAACTACCACTGTTTTCGCCTCTTATAGGTACCGCGGTCTGGCCATCAGGCAAGGAGTCGCCCCTACTCTCCGACTTACCGATAGCCGACGCAGGCATTCTCTCTACAACCACCGACAGCTGCTTGTGGCACTTCGGCGCTGCTGCTTTCCCTCTAACAGGTGTTTCACACGCACTCCAGTCATTCACTACCTCAGCGGTAACCGTATCGGCCGCGGAGCCCGCCGGCAACCCCGCGACTCGCCCCTCGCTGGATTCCCCCGTGGGGGTCGATCGCCCGGGAGCGGGGACACTACCCCCGGGAAACCGTGACGAGCTTCCGAGTTCTCGTCGCTTCGTAACCTTTTTTGTACCGCTCATGTTGTATTTAATACTGGCGATGGAGAGGAAGCCGGGTGACTCGCCGGCCAATCACCCGACTCGCCTCTAGCGTTTCCCGCGATTCAGCGGACGACCGTCCGACGGCAAGGACGACACCGCCGAACGGCCGCAAGGCGAACGTTGGTGGTTGCACCTACCTCCTTTCGTCACTCTTCGACGAACGTCGATCGGCATACCTCCAGGATAGGGAGCAGAGAGCAAAACCCGAAGGCTAACCCACATCCTGGAGTATACTAGTCAGATCCTGCACCGCGACAGTTCAAGTCCCTCAAAGATCTCAGGCTATCCTCCATCCCATCGCGAGAGAGAACCGAACCGAAACCCGAGGAACCGCACCATCCTTTCTCACACAGTTAGTTCCAACCATGCACTCCCCACTTGGCCACTGTTGGATGATTCACCCATTCATCTCGTGGCCACGAAACAGGGGGACCTTTTATAGAGGGCCCACCTCGCCGTCCGAGAGGTTGGGTGCAATCTCGGACGCTCGGTCTCTTCCATGGTGCTAGGGAAGAGATTACGAGAGCTCAGGCACCGCGGGTTCGCTAAACCCGTAGCGGAATCATATCGAAATGCGACCGAGCAAGTCGGACCGCATCCGAGATGATCCCACCCCCTGCGGGTAACCTTTTTTTTTTTTTTTTTACTAGGAGAAATGCCTTTACGCATGCCCTCCTCCCGGGGGGAAGGAGGGGTATGTGGGGCTCGAGGGCGATGCCCTCACTACCCACTAAAACTCCTAGGGGGGCCTTCCCACCGCCAGGATGAAAGGTGAGAGCGGGGATTAGTGGTGACATTTCGTCCCGCTCTCACCGGCGCCAACTATTCACTCGGTTTATAACCGTTGCTCCTGTTGGAGCTCCTTCCCATGCCCGGCAGGTAGGGCCCACCCACTACCTGCCGAGCC